TTTTGAAAATGTACATTTCAGTAAGTGAGTAGATCCCTGGGCTCAAATGACAGAAATCAAACTGAAGGTCCTTAAAGAAGCAACGTGCTGAGCTAGGAAAGGCTGCAGCCTGAGAGCTAGGTCTGAGACTGAGGCCACATGGAATTGAAGTCCTAGCTCTCTGTGTGTGGGTCCACCTGCAACCGCCACGGAGGAGTTTCCTCCCATTGGCTCCCTGGGGAAGAGGCAGCAAATGCCAAGCCACCGGGAAGCAGGTCTCAAAAGACAAGAAGGGGAAATGTCTCAGGAGCCCCCACCACCCCGTCTTCTTGATCAGTCCCATCAGATCTGGACCTGGACCAGAGAACCGATGAGGGCACTGGGCGCTGGGCACGGTGGAGAAACCAAAGTCACACACACCTCACCCACTCGCATCCCCCAGTGTTTATCCGAGCGAATGTGAAAATGTGAATCCCGGCCGGGCGCGGTGGCTCACGCCTGTAATCCTAGCACTCTGGGAGGCCGAGGCAGGAGGATCGATTCAGCTCAGGAGTTCGAGACCAGCCTGAGCAAGAGTGAGACCCCCGTCTCTACTAAAAATAGAAAGAAATTAATTGGCCAACTAAAAATATATAGAAAAACTTAGCTGGGCATGGTGGCGCATGCCTGTAGTCCCAGCTACCCGGGAGGCTGAGGCAGGAGGATCCCTTGAGCCCAGGAGTTTGAGGTTGCTCTGAGCTAGGCTGACGCCACGGCACTCACTCTAGCCTGGGCAACAGAGTGAGACTCTGTCTCAAAAAAAAGAAAAAGAAAAGAAAATGTGAATCTGAGCTTTAGACTCCCAAGTAGCACGAGGGGTGGAGCTGGGAGCAGGATGGAGATGGACGTGAAGAAGCTTTAGGGAATCCTTCTAGAGGCTCAGAAAACAGGAGGAGGTGGGTGCCGAGTGCTCCCTGGCCGTGGTGGTGCATGGGGCATCCCAAGAGCCCATCCCAGGAGCAGGGAAAAACTGTGGGCACAGAGCGCCTTCTGCACCTCACTGGTTTTTCTTGCCAGGGCTGACTGCTGCGTCTAGAACAAGTCCAAACTGCATTAGAAAATGGACTGATCTATATTCTGGGTTTAAAACCAGCCTTTGGAATAAAAAAGCTGGTGATTTCCCTAGGAAATCGTAGGCTGGACTGGAATCTTATGGCCTGGGCCATCAGACTTTCCAATAATCGTCCTAAAGTCATGAAAGTAGTACAGGGTGGACTGTGGCAGGGGTCCCCAACCACAATTTTGAGGGAGCAATGATGGGACGAAAGAAATAAGAAAACTCAGAAATCCATTCTTTCCTACCAGCTTACCCCAGACCCAGGGAAGCAGAGGCACATTGGATAACAAGAATAGGTGGGCTGGGGAAAAGAATGAGGGTTTCTACACTGAGGTAGTTAGTAATGGGGGGGGGAGAGAAAGAGAGGGAGAGAATGAAGGGCACCCTACTGAAGACTAGTGGCTGCCCCTGTACACAGCCCAGTCACCACATGCAGCAGGTCACAGACATGCCTGTCCCAGAAGACAGTCTGGATTGGGGGTCAGGCTGGGGCTTTGCATGGCCTATGAGCTAAGGTTTTTTTTACATTATCCAATGGTTGTAAAACAAATGAATGAACAAACAGCAGCAACCGAGACCACATGCAGCCCAACAAGCCTAAAATAGTTACTGTCTGGCCCTTTCCAGAGTTCGTCAATCTCTTGTCTATAAGATGGGGGAAATCCTAGCACTCTCCAGTGAGAAGCCTCTGAGCACGCCTGAAAAGGGAAACCAGAGGAGGTCCAGGAGCAACAAGGGAACAATGGAAATAACTGGAAATACCACTCAATATGACTAGCACAGCCCTAAAGGTGCACGCCTGCAACTCTGCAGAATAGTGAGGTATGCGAGAATAGCCAAAAAGAGAGCCACACTAAGAAACATTAGGGAAAGAATATTCTGGAAAAGAGATTGCATGCAGAGCTTAGTACTGATGAGGGAATTCTGTTGTTATTTAATAGGATGGAGATGGAGTTTGAGCCCAGGGATTGACAAAATATCAAGCCAGGTGAAATTCTAGAACACAACTGGATAGCTCATAAGCATCTAACAGTTGGAAAATTTTTAATAAAGATTACGAAGAGAAGGTTAAAGTAGATTCTAGAAAAGCTAATATTGGTTTGTCCTACTTTAAATAAACACCAAATACAAAAGTTCACACTAAAATAGAGACATTAAGGGACAATGACAAGAGGAATCTTGGTTTTTCAAAAGAAGTCACCAGAAGATTCCCTTACATAGGACACTTCCCAGATGAAAAATGGAATTTGATCTGTAAAGATCCAGTTTTTCACACAAATTTTAGGTAAAATATCCATTATACAACGTAGGGCACATATATTGAATTTGAAGGGAAACAAATGTTTCTAAGCTGAAAATCATATTTGTCTTTGGATTCATGAATTAAAGAACTCTTGGACATTTTTCCTTAAAGCATATAGTTCACTGAAATAACAGGGAAATTCATGTGTCATAAATGTAGAAGTCAGCTTTGGGTCTTCTATAAAAGTAGTGCTTTAAATGAAAACACACTGGGCCCAGAGGCAGGAGAACCGGAGTTGAGGCTTGGCCCTGCCACTGAGTCACAGTGTGATCATATACAAGTCGTTTGACCTATCTGGGGCTCAGTTTCCTCATCTGCGAAACAAGAGAGGTTGGTCCCTTTCAGCTCTAACATTCTGTGACTACGGATAAATATAGAAATCAGATAAATATAACAATCTAGAAATAAGAAATATTCTCCAAAGTAAGCTTTGGAGTCAGTAGAAAAAAGTAGCAATGAAATATAATAAAAAGAATAAAATTTTAACTACTAGCCAGAGTAAACACATCTCATTTAAAAATTAATGGAAAGGTTTGTAATTTACAATTCATCAGGAGACTTCAGAACATACACATTGATATTTCTTCACCATCATACATACAGAGGAAGGAATGAGTTTGAGGTGACTTGTACAATGAGCACAATGCTGCATTTGCATGCATAACATTTTATAAAATTGGACATTAAAAAAAGCAAGACCATGTAAGGAATAAATTTCTATAAAGCTTGGCATTACAAAGAAGCTGAGAGGGTTAACTGGCTGTTCCAGGTCAGATTTTCTTTTGAGTCTGTTGCTATCAAATTCCACTATTTAGGCAAAATCTTAAAATCAAATATATTCTACTTCTGCCAGAGCTATCCTGGAGAACAGCCACCCTGGTGAAGACAGGCATTTAAGAGTTAGCAATACCAAACAAACCTAACACTTTTCCCTTTTCTCATTTGTGAGTTAAAAAAAAATTTAACCCAAACCAGGCCAGATGTGCTGGTTAAGTCCAATCAAAGGTTTTGCAGGTTGAGCAAGTGGTTGATTCAATCTGACAATTTCTGAAAACCAAACAAACGTACGCCCGACCAAGATGATAGTATATACCACTTGGCCAGAGGCTGATCACTGTAATGACAGCCAGAACAAGGGGAAAGGTTGGAATCGCTTGGAGAGTCGTGGCTATTATAGTGATTCAGTGGCTTCAAGAGTAACGTTACTGGAATGTGCACGTGCGCGCGCGCACACACATACACACACACACACACACTCTCCAGGGATGCTGCCATTACTGGTTCCGGGACTTTGACAACCACTGCCCTAGATTTTGGGCTTTACTGAACAAAAGTATGTACCTAGTTAATGTTACTCATGCAAATTTCTTTTCGCTAAACTTATTAAAAACACCCCAAATGTGTGTCTACGAGCATTTGCAACTGTATTCTTCTACAAATCTGTTTCAAAGTATGCTAAAACTTTGCTTATTTCATACCATTATTTGAATCATTATAATTTTTGTTGCCCTTTGACAAAGGCACTTCTTTGTACCTATTTCCCACTCTCTTGTCCTTTTAAATCCCTAATATCTTCATCACTCATAGCTGAAAATGGTCTCATTCTCACACCAAGCTGAAGTGACAGCCCCTAACAGATAAAGTGGGGGAAGCAAAGTCTTGTGTTCAGGAAAGTTGTATCTCCAACAAGTTTAATAATCACCACCAATACCGGACGACTGACATTGATCGGACATGGATAGGACAGTTTCACCTTTCACAAACAGGACACATTTTCACAAACTCTTTATATCCTTGTGTTCTTTTACTCAAATGGTTAAGTAGTATTAATTCCACTTATGTAAAAATGGTAATGTACAATATGAATGATCTAGGCCTTTTCAGTGGCTTTTAGTAGCCATTTCTGAGAGTCCCTTGGTAGTAACCATATTGAATAGCACTGTGTATCAGGACAATTTAACTGACCATCAGCTATGAACTAAAATGATTCCAGGAGATTAAGGTACTTTCTATATTCTGGAGTTAGCCATCAGAGAATTTGGCCTTTCTGTGGTGAAAAATACACTTCTACAACTAGTCGATGCCTATCATTCTGCAAGTAGAACTTCATTCCTTTGGCTTAAGGCTTTTCCCCTGTTAAAATGCAAGTGACCCTCAAAAGAGGTAGCATTAAGCATAAGCCATAATCTCATAGTAAATGCATTCTTCCCTTTCCTGAGAGCATGTTTTTCTTAGAGAGGAGGAGAACAAAGTAGGAGGCACTGAGGAGAGTTGGTGCTGGGAAGTGAGGCGTGGGGAGAATGGAACAGAAAGAGGAGACAGGACCACGGTGACAGACCTCCCACTCGTTCACTACTTTGCTGGGGGACTGTCCCTGTGGGCACTCCTACTGAAATGGGTGCTAAGTTACCACTCGGAGCAGGTGACTTAGAAATCAGCTGTTTTTTTCTGATACTATTAAAGATTCTTTAGCAGGCATCCTCAAACTACAGCCCGCGGGCCACTTGCGGGCCGCCTAGCACATTTATCCGGCCTGCCGGTGTTTTTGCCACCGCTGCCTGTCCTGCTTAGCAGCTGACTCATCCCGGGCCCACAGTGCGCATGTGTGGAATGTGCGCCGCACTCTCCAATGGCCCTCCAACAGTCTGAGGGACAGTGAACTGGCCCCGTTTAAAAAGTTTGAGGACCCCTGCTTTAACGCATAGGCATACAAAGGCTTAGAGCAATGGAAAAGTAGATAGCAAGAAGACATTTGGTGCAACAACAGACAGGGAGTTACCCCCCCAAATCAGAGGGACTATACTTGTTCATAGGAAGAGAAGCTAAACATATTACTCTACGGAGTGCAAATCACAGGGCTGGGACGAGGGTAAGGCACTTGCACGGCCCTGGGACTGGGCACCTCCTTGCATGTGGCACACGCTAGGCGCCTCGCTCGCCTCACCCTAGTCCTGGCCCTGGCAAATCATATGAAAGTGAAAGCTCACCATCATGTCACAGACTGGATGAGAACGGAAGGCTGAATGAATGAGGCGCAGAGCGCTAAGCATGAACTCGTCTTTTTCCCGACTCGTTCATTTATGAGGAAGAGGGCAGGTGCACGGACAGGTCTGCTGAGACCGCAGGTACAGGGAGACTGTAAATCGTGTCTATGTTGTCTAGACAGTTGACATGGATGCCAGGTGAAATGCTCGTTAGAAGAGCTCGGTAGGATCTCCTCTGTCTTTGCACGTTCAAGGTCATGTCTCCAGATCAGCTGGTCAATTTGTGGTGATTAAGCTGATGGAAACTATTTTGCCACCTGTTGTCTCGCCTCCTTTATGGGTGAGCCATCGGCTAGGGATGCAGTTCCTGGGAATTGGGGCCGAGGAACAAGTTGGGGCCAGGTGGGAGGCCCAGGCGGGGGAGGCTGCAGTGGGCCAAGTAGTACAAGCAGAGAAGAGGAGACACCAGCCAAGCTTGCTGCTGTACTGAGAATAACTTGCTCTCTCCCGTCAATATTTGAACCACAAACATGTACTGAATACCTACCAAGTGCAAAGCACCTTAAGTTACCAATTAACCTCCTCTCCTGGGGCTGGCTCACTCTATTTCTGAGCGGATGGAAGTCAGTCTAGCAGGGCCATCTGCTACTGTTGGTTGGAATCAGAGGGGAAAAAGGGGTTAGGACCAACTTAAAATGGAAGCTGACCTCCTGGGGCCCAACTTCATTTCACTCGAACCTCTTCTCCATTCCACCTTTAAAAAGTATTATCATTATTCTTCGTACTAGTACTAGCCATAGCAGTAGGTTCTCTGCAAGCCTTCCCGAGAGGGGCTTTCAGCCTCTCTCCTCCAGTCTTGGCAGAGTGGCTGCAGAAGGCAGCAGACATTGTGGTAAGTGCCTGGGTGGAGAGAGAGTTGGTGTTGCAATAATCAAGGGCAGGAGAGAGGTGGAGCGTTAGGGGCAGGAAAGGTGATTGGGGTTCTGTTAATCAATGACTGGTAGAAGTTTCACAGTTTGGTTGTTTGGGACTAGGTCCACCTGTTGCAAAATATCAAATACATATTTCCAGTCCCAAATGTTATCTCTGACGGTACACTCTGCCCCAAATCCTCTTGTGCTAATGGGAACACCACTGGGCATTTGAGGGCTATAGTGACGACGTACTAAAGATTCGGGGCATAGAGTGTTGTAGAAGAAAGCAAGAATCAAGGTAATTGAAACACAGAAAAGTGTCTGGGCATTCAGCTTTAGAATATTGGGGGAAACCTCCAGAGGTAGCAAGATGAGGGGAGAGGCACAACCCACTACAAGTAGTAAGCAAGAAGCTTCCAGAAAAATCAGCAGAAGTAACAAGTTCTACACTATGAGTCCCATATTCGGCTTTAGAGTTCAGCTAGTCGTAACGGTTCCCAAGGAGCAGGCCCTGGCAGCCTTTCACTTTTGTTAAGTAAAAGCACAAACACTCCTTCATTTCCCTACAGAGGAACATGTTTCTGTCGTTTGGAACTCTGAGTCTGGGGCAGGCAAGGTAGAATTCATATATAAACTAAGGCCAGGGATGAATCTATTTTATTTCAGGCAAAAATCCATGATATTTGTTGAAGACCTTCAAACCAAGTAGTTCCAATACTTTCAAAAGCAACTAACTGGGCTTTCGCTAGCTGTTTATTATTTTAAGTGGTTTCTTTCTAAATCAGAGGAATTGCTGATTGCAAGGGAGCTGGTAGGCCTGGCCTGTTCCCAGAAGTCTCGAGTTCAGAACTGTACCAACCGAGGGCCTAGGCCTGGAGCTTCTCTGCGTGACAGGCCCTAATCTTCTCAGTACTCGGTGTTGGTTTTCAGCTGCTGTCTGGCTGGAGCGTGGGCAGTTGAGCTAAGAGCTTGCTTCTCATTGGTGAAATTGAGATCTGCTTGTCTCTGGAACTCTTACTGCGTCCTCCAGGAGGTTGACCAATGGGGTGAAATAGGAAGGGGTCGGGAAACTTTCTTTGTGAGGCAGGCTACAACTGCACTTGACTTCTCTTCTTGCCTCTTGGGATGGTAGACAATTAGCTTGCCATCACTGGTCAGCAGGTTTTCCTTGTTCAATGCTTTGTCTGTCTTCCTCTCAACCTCTCAGAAATCAGGCATATGAAAATCAAATGAATCACTGCTCTTGCTCTGCTTAGGAAACTGAGCTGACAAGAATAGTCAGCGCCTATAAGTTTTGGGGACAGAGGGATCGCAGTGGCTGTTCTGGAGATCTTTCAGCGTCCCATTTCCCCAAGTCTTACACTGTGCTCCAGCACAGTTAACTGAAAGTTGATCAAACAGCAGAACCTAAATGACAAAAAGTAGCCCTTTGTTTTTGGTGTTATGGGCCATAGCAACTTGCAAGGCTGCCTTTTAGATTTTGGATAGATCCTTTTAGTTTAAATGTTCTTGGTTTTTGGAACAAAACTAACCACAAACCACGATCTGAACTGAATGGTGAGGGGCAAGGTGCACTTACTTTCTAGCTTCCTCGAGCCTTTGATGGTGCTGTTCCTTCTGCTAATTACTTCCTGTAATGAGTGGTATATGCAAATGAAATGAGAGTTCTTAGAATACAGCACGAGCTGGGCACGGATCCTGGCTACCGCTGTTGACAGACTTGAAGGATCTTGAGGCGCACGCGCGAGTTACCTTGGCTAGATCTCAGTGAACAAATGACCGTCTTTCTTGTTTGTTGGCTGAGCTTGGTTCATCCAAAGCAACCTGGTCCAGGCCTTTTCTAACTAATGGGGGTGGGGGGGGCTCTATATGTTTATTGAAACTCATCACCCTGATCTCCGTGTAGACAATCAAGCTGAAAAAGGCATGAAGTTTCAGGACAGAGTCACATTCATATTTTGCACCACAAAAGCCATCCAATCAACCCCATGCTGAAATAAGTGCACACTTGCAAACCTCTCATACGTGGAGGGGAAGTTAAACTGTGGCTGAGGAGGCATTAGAGTCTTTCTGTACCTCCGCACAGGGCCATCAGGGTCTCCCCAGGAAAGGGAGCTATCAGAAATGGCACCCTATGTCCCCCAGGTTTGGCAGCCCCCAATCTGCTCTCACACTGCGCCCCTCAGGGACAGGAGCCAGGGGTGGAGCAGCCGGGTCATTGACTGAAACGGTGGCACATGCACCCTCACGTCTGAGAACTTCTTAGTGCGCACCACTGGGGGGAAATAAGAAGAAACTCGGGAGTCGGTCAAGGCAAGACTGTAAGTATGAAAATGTAAAGTGTGTGGAGATGATTAAGTGCCTGATGACTTTAGCTCTAGATGAAGTGGCCTCTCTCCTGCCATCCAGAGTGCGAGTTAATGTGATAGAAATGTAGGCTCTGTCGTATTCCCAAGGTTCCTTTTTAAAGCCTTTTCTCTTTCCCCTTCTCTACCCAAGGTTAGTAAGCAAACCCCTCTTGTTGAACCCAGGGCTTAGGTACTGGGGTTATCAGTGGTGTCATAGTCTTTTGAAAATTGTGCAATAATTCTCCGAGCCAGTGGGTTAGTGGTTTTCAGCAGTTCGGCTGCTGAGGGGCGGGATTTCGGAGTTGCCTTGCTTCCCTTCTTCTGCAGCAAGGCCTTGAAATCATCATTTCTGCCAGCATCTAGGTTGGCACTGCCGCCCGACCCTGCGGTGGCAGCTGACTCACTGATCGGAGACTCGGCTGTGTTCTTTATCGGCGAGTGGGAGCTCTGTCTGCTGCAGGCAAACGTCTCACCAGGCTCCTTCCAGCCGAGGAGCTTTCTCTTGGACCTAAATAAGAGAAAGTTTGGTTTGAGTGAATTCACGCAGCAGATGGTTGCCAATGCTTCACAGATGTCCACGCTAGTGACATGATCTGAGAATGGCCGTGCAGCGGCCTGGCAAGCAGTCGTATTGACTGGCCTTCTCCCTCACCTCTATGTCCTCAGAGTTCCTTGTTGGGTCCTCTGTCCCCACACGCCTTTTATTGGCCACAGCTGGAGTCACTTGGCCTGTGCCTGCAGGCTCGGGCCTGCTCAGGTGCTAGGACCAAGGACAAATTTTAGGAATCAAGGCTAGCAGCTCAGTGACTCTGAACCAGGACAACCTGGAGAACGGTCTGGTTCTGAACTAGTGCTCCGGCTCCAATAACTGGGCTCTTTCTAGTTTTCTTGTCACTGAGCCCCTGACTGGTGCCCCTATTCAATAACTGGGTCCCCATCTGGTCCTCCTTTGCCCAAGTTCCTGCTTTGATATACTGCCTGGTGCCCCACTTCACCTCCTGATAATATTTTTTGGTACAAGAAATTCTGTGAAGGGTTAAATGTCCCTGACTGTAGACAGCTGTGAGAGAGCAGATGGAGCCACAATAGGCCAAGCGGTTGCTAGGAGACGAGGGGCCTCTCACTTAGCACCTGGTCCTTCCCCCAACCCTCCTCCCCTTCACCCAACCATGTCGGTGAATTTGAGATGGGAGGCTCTGGACTGCACTCATATATGTGCGTTATCTGAATTTAGTCTCCAGTTACAATACATTTTTTTTTTTTTTTTGAGACAGAGTCTTACTCTGTTGCCCAGGTTAGAGTGAGTGCCGTGGCGTCAGCCTAGCTCACAGCAACCTCAGACTCCTGGGCACAAGCAATCCTCCTGCCTCAGCCTCCCGAGTAGCTGGGACTACAGGCATGTGTCACCAGGCCTGGCTAATTTTATATATATCTATATATTTTTAGTTGTCCAGCTAATTTATTTCTATTATTTTTAGTAGAGACGGGGGTCTCACTCTTGCTCAGCCTGGTCTCGAACTCCTAAGCTCAGATGATCCACCTCCCTTGGCCTCCCAGAGTGCTAGGATTATAGGCGTGAGCCACCTCACCTGGCCTCCAGTTGGCTGCTTAGAGGTAGGAGTTTTTCTTTAAGTAGAAAAAGGGAAGGCAATTGTAATTAGAATTAATGAAAATGGTCCAGACCTGTGTATCACAGTAAATAAATCTTCAGTTGTGCGTGAAGCCACAAAAACGTCATCGTCGTCCTCCGCAATCCATTCGGCTGTTTTATCACTGATTAAACTTTTTTCTTCAGTACTTGGTTCCACCGAACTCCCTAGGCATAAGAACCAGAAGGAATGACTTTGACCCCAAAAGACAGGACAAAGCACATTCTCATATGTTATTTCATTGAATGTTCAAAGCAACTCTGGATGGGCAGCAGGGTGGAGATTTTGAATGTCTCCATTTTGCAGAGGAGGAACATGAAGTTCAGAAGTTTAATGATTTGCCCAAGGTGGAGTGAGCAGTGAAGATGGGCCAGGGTCCCTGTTCTCTCATGCCTTTGTCATTGCAACAGGCAGCCCGAAAATTCTCTTACTTTAGATGTGGTGCATCGTTTTTAAAAATCAAGGAGCTGAGAGAGATCTCAAGTAGTGACTCTCACCTAGCGGGTGCGAGTGGGACCTCTTTGAATCTCAGAGAGAGCCTGTGGCATCTGAGGAGGCATATGCTAAAATTACCTGTGGCTTTGATTTGCTTGTGTTAGTCACAAATTGACTTATACCAAAAGTTCAAATCAGCTTATAGAAGGCCACGAGATTTTGATGTTTGGTGTTACGGGTTCCAAGAAGGATGAGAAACATACATGAACCTTGAGAACATTAAGCTAAGTGAAATAAGCCACTAACACACACAAAAATACTATATGATTCCACTTAAATGAGGTATCTAGAGTAGTCACATTCATAGACGCAGGAAGGAGAACGGTGTTTGCCAGGGAGGAATCTGGGGGGAGGGGCAAAGCGGAGCTGCTGTTTACTGGGTATAGAGTTTCAGTTTTGCAAGATGAAAGGGGTTCTGGAAGTTGGTTGCTCAACTACTCGACTATGTGAACGTACTTAACACTAATGAACTGCACACTTCAACATGGTTAACATGGTAAAAGTTATATTATGTGTATTTTACCACAATTAAAACAAAAAGAGACAGAAAAAGAAAAGATGAGAAACATTAGCCTGGTTTTTTGGTTCCTGGAAGAGAGCTAGCCTCAAACCACCCAAGAAAGTGAGCTCCCTTCCCTCTGGAAGGCACGAGGAAAGGCTGCTGGTGGTGAACTCAGTCTAGGGGGCATTGAGTCCCCAGGAAACTTAGTTCAGTGCAGCGAATGAAAAGTACTGTACAGGGAGGTGAAGAAGTTGTCCCTGGGCCCCAGGAGGCATGCCTGGCTAGGCAGATGGGATCATGAAGTCCCAGGGTGCTAGGACCTAGTTGGATTTCATTAACTCAGCACTAGGGGTTCCAGGGTAGACTGGCCCAAACTTGACCTTGGCGATCTGCCCCGGGTCAGTCCTGATCCCAAGAGGAATAAGGCCGACCCATGGTTCCCATATAGACTAACCCAACCCTCAAGAGGTGCCCCCTACTGCCTCGGTCCTCCTGGGATCAGGGAAAACATTCTGGGGCACCTGCTTCTGTCTCGGGCACTCCATTGTCACCCCTGTCTCTCCTGTGATGGAAACAAATCCAGGGGACAGTTTACTAACCCAGAGGGCTTGCCTCCTTTTCAATGTCAGCCTGTGGAGTTGAAGTCGCCCTTTCACCATCCCCGGTGCGGGGACACTTGGCGTCCTCCTCCAGGGTGATGATGGGGCTGAGGGGCAGCCTGGCTTCTGCCGCGTAGGCCTCCATCTGGGCTGTGGGCGAGGTCAGAGGCAGGTACAACACGCTGGGCTTTTTTGGCACAGGCGGTGGAATCTTGCCTTTCTTTCTCTCAGCTTCTTCTTGGCTCTGGAGGCTAATTCTTTCAGGCAGGGCTCTCACCTTGGGGCCCTCGTCCTCCGTACTTCCCTGCGGAGGCTGCTGGGTTCCTGAGAAGAAAGCACCAGAGGAACAGGCAAAAGGCGTGAAAACGGCAGACGAGGGTGGTGTCGCCTCGCCTGGACTTCTGCCATTGGGGAAGCTGGAGGACTTTGGTTTCCGCACCACCGTGTAGCTGTCTTGAGAGAGTGGTCTCCCGTGTTGAGTTGAGCCCTTGGGGGTTATAGTCAAGGTAGGCGAAGGGAGTGGGTACTCCTCGGGGACAGACGGTGGCTTGTGGATCAAGCTTGGAGGTCTTCGGGCCAGCGGAGGCTTCTCAGCTATGGGAGGTTTCATCTTTCTCTCCGGCAAGGTGAAGACTTCTTCCGCTCTGGCTTCCTCAGTGTAGTCAGGGCTCTCGATGTCATCTTCCGGCTCAGACTTGCTGACTGACCTCAGGCGGACAGAACGTAGGTCAGACTGAGTAACCATGGGCATGATCGGCTGGTTGGGACTAGTTTTCTGGGCCAGCTTGGCCCCGAAATTTGTATCTGAGTGATGCCTGCTCACCTTGGTTTTGCTTCGGACGGAGATACTCATCCCAGACAGATCCAGGTTGGTTGAAGGGGTCAGTGGTAGGTCAAATGATAGCCGTGACTTGGGGAGTTTCTCCATTGGTGATGTTGGGGGTAGTGACGACTTCCTCTCTGGTACCACCGGACGTACCCGGACGTTGCTGCTTGCAGGGGGAAAGTGGCCCAGGGTCAAGGACATGGAGACAGTAGGTGTTGGTGTCTCTGACTGGCTGGAGTAGCCACTGGAGGGTGACATGAGTCCGGTGGGCCTTCCTGGGGAGGACACCTCCCTGGCTTCCACCTCGATGGAGAGCTGGGAAGGTGTAGTGGCTCTGGAGGTGGAAGGGGACGCAAGAGACTCTGAGCTGCCCTGAACGTGGGTGCACTCAATGACCGTGGTGCCAGTGGCAGTGCTGGAGCTGGACAAGGATTGGTAGGTGTCACCAGACTTCCAGTCAGTAAGATACCAGTGGTGGGAGAATTGTGTACCTTCTGGATCTTTGAGGGTTGGCACAGCTGGGTGACCCTGAGCATCTGGGTGGGACGAGTGATGTCCTTGGTATTCCAAGGAGAGGCAAAGGCTCCGGGGCCTCTGGTCCTTGGGTAGCGCAGATGCCCCTTCCGGCAAGAGGACTGGCTCGTCTTTGACCAGGGAGACACTGCGCGTAGGTGGGGAGGGCTTCTTCTTGGCCTTCTTGAGTGAGATGCTCTTGGACCTCTGCCTTCGGTGCTGGGCCTCCTGCCGGGCGCTGAGGGAGGCGATGTTGTCAGCACTGTTGCTGCCCTCAGAACCGGTACTGGCATAAGGCATGGCACAGGCCTCACTGGCCTTCTGCTCCTTGTCATAGTCCACAGCTGTGGTGCCCGAGTCTGTGGGCACAGACAGCGACCGTTCCCGGAATCGGCCGGCCCCGCCTGGGCCTGTCTCCAGCTTTGAGGTAGCACCGGGCAGAAGGCCAATCTTGGAGGGTCTTTCCGGTACTTGCCTCCGTTGAGTAGGGTGCTCGGAGTAGCCAGTTAGCCCACTGCATCCTGCTGGGTTATCACGAGTGACAAACAGGGTAGCAGCCTCCTTAGGAACCAGAGGCGGGAGTGTGTTCAGAGAGACCCAAGAATTCCCAGAGGAAGGATGTTTTCCGTTGTCATTGACTTGGTTTCTCTGGCTGGTGGCACATGGAGTCATGTAGGTAAAAGCATCTCCCTTCCAGGAAGTGGAGAACGTCGATTCTGTGGGGCCGTTGCAGGAACTGGGGACGCTGTACACCATCCCCACACTCTCCATACCAGGGGGGTTTGGGCCACTCCGTGCCTGGGGAGGTTCTTCCAGCTCACTCGAAGGATTTCTCAGTACTGGCGATGTGACACTTGGGAACCGAGCTTCCTGACCAACTGCAACTCTTCCATGAAGACCTTCCAGAACGGAGTGACTGGGCCTGATGTTGGAGGTGGCAGAGTGGGCCACACTGCCTGCTGGGCTGGTGCTGTGACCTGGAGGAAGGAAACACAGAACGTTAGCGGTGCCGCAAGGGGTCCCCCATCAGCTGTTCTGAGATGGGAGCGCCAACTTTTTGCCAAGAAGCATCTGGCAATGGCTTGGTCAGAATTCCTTGGTTCTTCCTTTCCATGGATGAGGGAAGTTGGGTCCTTTCCCATCACCCCACAGTGAGTCCTAGGGCGCCCTTGAATTGTCCAGAGGGCTGCCAAAGGCTTTCCAGCTTTGAGTATTCCTTTTAGAGCTGAAGTGTCACATGGGACTGCCTTGGGTGTTTCCCATACTTTCACCCCAGCCTCATGAAACCATCACAGACCTCAGTGTTCATCCATCCGGAGATGAGAGCAGAGGCTTCCGAACTAAGGACAACACTGTGTGACTTTCAGCTCCAGCAGTGACTTTGGAGTATGCCCGAGCTGGAAAGTTGAGAGTCTGGTTGCATTTCTGGCACCTTTCAATTTTTAGGCTTTGCAACATAAGAGACTTAGGAGAACCTACAGATGTGAGGAAACCATTCAGATGTTCCAAATCCCCAAAGGTTTTCTCATATATACAAACAACTATGACTGCTATGTCATTATTATTACTACTATTGTTATGATCATTTATAATAACAGTCACCATTTGTTGAACACCGGCTATGTACCAGGCACATGGTAAGCAAATTACGTACAATGACTGTAATCCTCACGGTAACTCTACTGGATCGGTATCATTAACCCCAATTTACAGGTGAAGAAGCTGAGACTCGGAGAGGTTAGGAAACTTGGCCCAGGCCTCATGGTCAGTAAGCAGAGAGGCCCAGACTTGTATTCTCTGGTATCTCTCTGCTCTTTGAATGGCGTTCATTTAATGGTAGCAATGGTTCTGTTAACACGATGGTTTTAGCAATCATTCCTCCCTCCTTATGTATTTGCCTAAATTCGGCACATCTGGTTATATTACACTTATGATGGGAAAAAATAACGTAATGGATTTATTAGCCCCGGAGACCTGCCCTCCATAATCAGCTGCTGTCTCTGGCTATTCTTAATCACCATGTTGGCTTTTTCAGGACATCCACAGCCTCCCCCACCCGTCCCTGAATTATTCCTGTTCCCCGTCACCACAGTACCACGTGGGTGGCAGGAAGGTGGGAGTGGGCAAGGGGAGGGGACTGGGGGATCAGCTGTGGTGGGGTCACCTTGGTCTCGCTGGGAAAAGTTAGAGAATCCAATAATGGTCCGCCTCCGCCTCAGGGTGGACTTAGGGTTCACGGCTGTCTCTGTGTTAAACAACGAGTGTCGCAAACTTGCATGTTTATCAAACTGCTGCCCTGTAGCCAAAATAAAGACACTTGGGTGCATCCCGGTTTCTGTTTCAAGTACAGTGGAAATTGGCCCGAGGCAGAGAGAAGGGATGATGGCAGTAGCGATGAGCATGAACAGGGTCCAAGGCAGGTGGCGCTTCTCCATCGCTCCCAGTTTGGCCCTGGCACACGTGCCGGCTTCCACAGGCCACATCCAGGTCACCTGCAAGTCTTAGGTGGACTGGGGCAGTGGTTTTCAACACTGGCTACGTAGCAAAATCAACTGGGAAGCTTCTGGAACTCCAATACCTGGACCTCACTCCAGAAACACTTAAATCACTGGGAGTAGCGTCCAGGGAGCAGTATTTTCTAGAAGCTCTCAGGTGATTATTCATACGTACAGCCACGGGCGAGGGCCAGGGGCGAGAGCCATCATCGAGGGGTGAGGGGCTGAGACTAGATGTTGCTTGACTGTGATCTTTTCTCAGAGACAGCCTTTATTTTTTTTCTCTTTTTAAAATTTTTTTAGCCTTTTCTCATTATTTTTTTTCTTTTTTTCTCAGAGAGAGACTTTATGTGGGCCAGGTGAAGCCCCTGTCTCCAAGAAGTTGCCCCACTGTGCCCCACCATCCAGGTGCCCATAGCCACCTGGTGACATTATATCACAGTTGGCTGCAGTGTGGCGAATGAGTTCTATTTCTCTCTCTCTCTCTTTTTTTGATACAAAGTCTCACTTTGTTGCCTGGGCTAGAGAGACGTGGCGTCAGCCTAGCTCACAGCAACCTCCAACTCCTGGGCTCAGGCGATCCTCCTGCCTCAGCCTCCTGAGTAGCTGGGACTACAGGCACGAGCCACCATGCCCGGCTCAGTTTTTCTATATATTTTTAGTTTTCCAGCCAATTTATTTCTTTTTTTAGTAGAGACAGGGTCTCGCTCTTGCTCAGGCTGGTTTTGAACTCCTGACGTTGAGTGATCCTCCTCCCTTGGGCCTCCCAGAGTGCTAGGATGAGAGGTGTAAGCCACCGTGCCCGGCCTGAGCTCGATTTCTCTTAAAGTGTTGGGCCAGTCTTTGGCTCCTGGGAAATGACTGGGGCAATCAGGGTGGCCCAGGCCCACGGGACAAGGTATGCAGTTCTCCTCCCTGGGTCTCATTCAGCAGCTGGCTAACCAGACCCTTCCCCTTGGCCACACAGCCACGAATGTACATGCACCCCCCAGCAAGAGGCTCTGTGGGCAAACCCCAGGGACAGCCTCCTTGAGAGTAACAGAGACATTTCAACAGAGAGCACCCAACGTCACTTTATGAGTCTCTCCTTATCAGCCCTTACTCCTCCTGGTACATCTCCCTAAGCCGTGGGCTCTGTTTTCTGTCTCTGATTTCCTGAGATGACGCCAGTGGCAGTGGCTGACCCCATATCAGGGACCATTGCCACATGTGGCCAGAGCTGTCCTTATCGTCTTCATTAGCATTTTCCAGCATAGCATGGGCTGGTGCTAGCTCGAATGGTCCCTCTGGTCCCTTTGGGTTACTGAGGTCTTGGTTTCATCAGGTCACTGGCCCTATCTCCTTCTGAAAATGACTGGCCCTCCTCTTCCCCTTACAGCCTGTGGAGTGTGGAGCATGAATTAGCAACGGGCATGGTACAGTGTGCCACCCGTCCCCAGAGCCACCGCCAGCTGGGCTGTGTACATCATCTTCCCCTCTCTCAAGGTTGTACTGGGTCCCCTTTTGGTGTCTTTGGCCTTAGTACCTTTCCACTACTTGTATTCTTGAAAAACTTGCCAAACAAGTTGAGGAGGCCACCTCGCTAGAAGACCAGTGTCTAGTGCAAGTGCCACAAGGCCCCTGGCCTGTGCCTGGGTGGGACCCTCCCGTTTACCACCAGCACTCTGAACCCCTCTAGCCCCCTCCGGATCCTATTGGTGTACTCCAAGTCTGGCTTTGGGCACAAGAAGTTGTGTTTTTGTGACCCAAATACAACTCACTCACAAACGTTCAATTTCCACATATCCTCGGAAGCACACACAAGTTCGTAAAGTTTTGGAGCTTTCAGTTAAGGAAACTTTGTTTGCTATCACGTGGGCTCAGTTAGTGCGGCAATGCCAGCAGGGAGTGAAGAAAGAGCAGCCAGAGCCCCCTCTTCCTACCTCTGTCCCCCGGCGAGAGCCATGACCGCGACAGCGCAGGGCGAGCCAGTAGCAAAGAAAGCCGCACTCCCTCCCCCAGCACCCAGTGCACCAGAGAGGATGGTCGGTGGTGGCGGAGGGAAGCGGACAGAGGTGGCGCTGAGCAACTCTACCAGAGACGTTGATGGGCACAATGTCAGACTGCGTGGAGCAAGGCTGAGGCCACCGCTTCTCCTCTAGGACGGGCAGAGGGAAGGGGCTACTCCAGGCACTTTGCTTGTCGGCTGTGGTAGGCAAGGCCTCGGGGGCCCTCACCCCCTGGGTGGTGGTCTCATTGTCGCTCAGCTGCCGTTTTGTAGGCTGTTGGGAAAGAAGGTGATGGAAAGGGTGTGCTCCTGCCTGGCGATGAGCCGCGCCCGCAGGACGGCTGTTTAGACAGGGTGGTCGGAGGCTCCGTCTGGGAGGCAGGAGGGCGCGGACGGGCTGCCAGGCCAGGCACCTGCCACACGGGGCTCATCCCGGTCGGGCCTCAGGGTCGCTCTGCGGTGAGCAGAGGTGAGCAGCAGCTTCCAGTGGGCCACGTAGTAAGCAGCCTGAGATCTCCTGTCCCTGGGTGCACGCTGGCTCTCCCAGGAGGGGCAAGAGGCAACTCACCATCAACACAAACTCCAGACGCCTGGCAGACTGGGGCCTTGGGCTGGGGGTGGGCTCAGGGGCCTCATCGGAAGAGCGGAAGGTCTGCCCCAGAAGTCTGGCCTCCGAGTACTGTTCCTCATATTCTTCTGAAAAATAGCAGAGTGGAGACACACTCTAGGGGCCCACGGCTGAGCACTGGGCTTGGGTAGGACCATGAGCTGGGGCTCCTGCTCTAGCCGCCAGGCCCGTCTTGCATTCTTTTTTTTTTCTTTGAGACAGAGTCTCACTCTATTGCCCGGGCTAGAATGCCGTGGCGTCGGCCTAGCTCACAGCAACCTCAAACTCCTGGGCTCAAGCAATCCTCCTGCCTCAGCCTCCCGAGTAGCTGGGACTACAGGCATGAGCCACCATGCCCGGCTCATTTTTTCTATTTTTAGTTGTTTGGCTAATGTCTTTCTATTTATAGTAGAGATGGGGTCTCACTCTTGCTCAGGCTAGTCTCGAACTCCTGGGCTCAAGCGATCTTCCTGCCTCAGCCTCCCAAGTAGCTGGGACTACAGGCACGAGCCACCATGCCCGGCTCATTTTTTTCTATTTTTAGTTGTTTGGCTAATGTCTTTCTATTTATAGTAGAGACGGGGTCTCACTCTTGCTCAGGCTGGTCTCGAACTCCTGAGCTCAAGCAATCCTCCTGCCTCGGCCTCCCAGAGTGTTAGGATTACAGGCTGAGGCACCGCGCCCAGCCCTGACTTGCATTCTTACTATAGGCTGTTTCCCAGAGCCTGAGCCAATGGGTTCAGAAATGGAAAAGTGCCTGCTTCCCAGCACTGTGAGGGCCGAAGAGCAAAGAAAGTGAAAAAATTCAAGCCGTGCTGGTTTGGGGACCAAGTCCTTCTCTCCATGGCCCCCACCGTAAGTGCTCAACTTGGAGAAGAGACTCGGGAAGCAGATACCTTTTGATAGTTTAGACTGCAAGGTCCTCTCTTGGAAGCCCTGCGGCTCTTCAGGTTTTCTGCAAGCCTACCAGGGGAATGACAGGAGTGAAGCAAGAGGAGGTCTGCCCTGCGATGTCCCGTCTGCAGTTCTCTCTTGGATGCCAAGAATTCTTACTTGAGCCTTTGCAGGCCTGGTTCCCTGTGCCTTAGTCCCACTGCGGGTGAGGCCAGGTCTAGGAGGACAAATGGGAGGGAGAGGGAAGGAGGAGGTAGCAGCATAGAAGAGGGAGAAGTTCAAAGGCATCGTCGGGTGATAAGAAGGATGCGTAAGATTTGAATGGGTTCGACTAAAAGGATGAATTCGATGAATAAACAAAGAAAGTGAGAGTAAAAAGCAAACGTCCACGCTCTATGTATAATTTGAACAAAGACTCTCTTAGAATCATAGAAAGTCAAGGTTGCTCTCAGGGTTCCGTGGTCCAACACCCCATTCTGCCCACAGTCCCTCCTCTGCAGCCCTTCCAGGTGCTTCTGCATGCCCAGCGCGCACACCCGCAGGGAAGGGGAGCTCCCTCCCTCCCAAGGCAGCTCATTCCCTCTAGGGACAGTTGGGGCTATCAGGTGTGTCAGAAAAGTTCTTCCTTATCTGGAGGTGAAATCTGCCCCTCCGGGTTTCCACCCACTGGTCCTAATTCTGCCGTGGCAGCAACATAAAACAGACCGACTCTCTTTTTCTGCATGGCAGCTCCTCTGTTATCTGAACACAAGGCCTATGCTGTCCTTTGGCATCTCGCTTCTCTAAGGTCACCACTGCCCTGGCAGGGAGGTGGGAGTTATGGCTGTAGTCCAGTTGGTGGCCCATCGGCAGTTTTCTATTCTCCGTTAGAGTTAACCTTTGTTGGTGGGTACACGGGTGCTGACAAGACCTCTCTTCACATTTAACATCCACTGAGCACCTCTTGGGGGATCCCGCCCTGTACCAAGTGCTTCTGGAAACCCAAGGGGAGTCAGAGATGTGATTTTGTTTTTTTTAATTTAAAAGTTGTCTGGCTAATTTCTTTATCTTTTTGTTTATTTTTATTTCTTTATTTTTTTGAGACAGAGTCTCACTGTGTTGCCTGGGCTAAAGTGCTGTAGCGTCAGCCTAGCTCACAGCAACCTCAAACTCCTGGGCTCAAGCAATCCTTCTGCCTCAGCCTCCCGAGTAGCTGGGACTACAGGCTTGCGCCACCATGCCCAGCTAATTTTTTGTACATATTTTTAGTTGACCAATTAATTTCTTTCTATTTTTAGTAGAGATGGGGGTCTCAGTCTTGCTCAGGCTGGTCTCGAACTCCTGACCTTGATCGATCCTCCTGCCTCAGCCTCCCAGAGTGCTAGGATTGGGCGTGAGCCACCGCGCCCGCCAGAGATGTGATTTTTTTAAATCAAGAAGCTCAGTCTGGTTAGGAGGGCGACCCGGGTGACCTCTGGGTGCTGTGTATGGGGCTTGCTCTGGTGAGGCAGTAGCTACATGAGGCATGGGGACCAAGTTACTGTAAGAGCAGAGTGAGTGAAGCCCAGAGTGGGAGGCTGTGCAGATGGCCCGTTTGTCTTCCGGTGCCAGGAGTCCAAAGGCGTGGGCGATGTGGCAAGAGGAGGGCTGGAAGGGAATGTGGGGGTTGCCCCCCCAGCTCTCTGTGAATGGCCTGACCCACTGTCCGGCCTTGGCCTCTGTCCTTGTTTTCCCCACGGACTACAGAGATGAAAAAGTGGGGGCGGGGGGCGCTGGAAACAGACTGTTTTAGAATCATTAGTCTGAAAGGCGAAAGATGGAGACTGTGTGCTCTGTTTGTTGATAGGTTTTAAACGGTCCTCTTTCTTCTTTGCCTCCCTCCTGCCGCTGCGCATGTCGCCTCTGGGCTCCGGCCGCAGCCCCCCTCCCTCTCGGTACCTTGCAACAGGCTCTGGAGATTGAGCTGCGCCTCGCGAAGCAGCTCCTCTACACTCGGGGGCCTGCCCGAGGAGAGGAACACGTTCACTGGCTGTCGCCATGACGACCTCGAGTGGGCAGTCGCTGTCGCATTTTCCCGACCCGAGTTAGCTGCAGCTAGGGAAGGAGAGAGTGAGTGAGAGGCGCAGCCGAGGGGGCGGCGCGCCGCGGCCAGTGGGCGCCCGCGGTTCCCGGGACCCGCCCCCGCGGGCGGGGGACAGCCGCGCTGCGCTTAAAAGGCGGGCAAGCGCCGGCCGCAAGATTTTTCCTCGACAGATCCTGCCGCAGTCGGTTCCTTCCAGGTCCCACCGCCTCGTCCTCCCAGCCGCCCCACCGCCGCCGCCACCGCCACCGCCGCCGCCCGAGTCGCCCGCACCCTCCGCCTGGCGCCTCTCGGCCCCGCGACGAGGTAACGCGCCCCGGGCCGCGCTGCTCGGTCCTCGGTCCCCCGCGCCGCCCTCCGTGCTCGCCCCGGTGGGTGTGGCCCGGCCTCTCCCGCGCCCGCCGCCTCATTTCGGCCTCCTCCCGCCGCCCTCGCTCCGCGTCCCCCGCCCCGAGACCCAGGGTCCCTGAGCCAGTCAAAATGTCCGAGGCGACAGGAAACCTCAATAGCCTCCGCATGGCCAACGTAGCCCTGCGGGAAGAGTTAAATGCTCTGCGCGGGGAGAATGCCAATCTGGGCCTCCAGCTCGGAAGAGCCCTGGCTGAGGTTAATTCCTTGCGCGGCAATGTCTCCAGCTACATCCGCTGGCCAGTGCCCGTGGTGCCCGTCCTTGCCGAGGAGAACTTTGAGTTCCCGCTCAGCGAGATCGACGCCATGCCCGAGGGAGAGCTGCCCTTCCTGTGCTGGCCTCCCGCTCGCTCCGAGCCCGAGTACGTCTCGGACGATCTTTTGATTAACGTGATCCAGGACTGCAGCACCCCGGACGGGCCCAGCGACGCTCCTCTGCTGCCCATCCCGCCCCCGCCCGCGGTGCCCCCGCCCGCGACAAAGGAGCCGCCCCCGCAGGCCCCTCTGCCACCGCTGGAGCGGCCTGAGATCGAGCCGTTTTCGGGAGACCCGGTCTACCTGGCCGAGTTCCTGATGCAGCTCGAGACCTTCATAGCTGACCACGAGGATCATTTCCCCGGGGGCGCCGAGCGGGTGGCCTTTCTCATCTCCTTTTTCGCTGGCCCAGCCAAGGACTGGGCCATCTCAGTCACCCAGGAGGGAAGCCCCCTGCGTGCCAACTTCCCGCGCTTCCTGGATGAAATCCGTAAGGAATTCTGTGGTCCCATCCCCCCACGTGTGGCTAAAAAGGCCATCCGCAAGCTGAGGCAGGGACACTGTACCCTCGGCAGCTATGCAGATGCTTTTCAGTTCCTGGCCCAATTCTTGTCTTGGGATGACAGCCGCCTCCAAAATCAATTCCTCAAAGGCCTGTCGGAATTCTTCCGCAAGGAGCTCTTGTGGTCAACTGAAATGGCTGACCTGGATGAACTGATTCTCGAATGTGTTGAGATAGAAAGAAAGGTGCGCGTCCCCAAGCCAATCCCGCTCCCTGGGGTTCGCAATGTCTTCTTCCCTTTTGCTCCGAGCCCGAATGAGGATGACAGTGAAGAGGAAGAGTACTGCAGTGAGGATGAAGGCCAAGGGGCACGCAGGCGCAGGCTTCGCCCCAAGGACCCGCGGAGGCGCATGAGGGCTTTTCAGCAAGAGATGAAGGAGGAGGAGGAGATGAAGGAGGAGGAGAAGGAGGAGGAAGAGGAGGAGATGAAACAGAAAGCAGAGGAGGAGGAGGAGGAGATGAGGAAGAACGAGGATGAAGGAGAGAATAATGATGAGGACGACGATGAAGATGAGGATGGGGGCCAGAAACCAGAGCAGGAGCCCGGGCAGGAGCCGGGGATGGCGGAGACGTCTGGCGAGGAGGAGGAGGAGGTGGAGCCCCTGGATGAGGCCCAGGAGGATGCCCTAGACGACCCGATGGAGATGGAGCCCACCTTTGCCCACGCGTCATCGCAGACGTCTGGCCCCGTAAGTGGCAACTATGCCGAAAACTTCCTGGGCGCGTCGCCTCCCATCGTACAGCCCAGCCGGCGGAGGAACCAGAACCGCGTGCCGCTGCTGGAGGGCCTGCCCGGCACCAATTCGCCATTCTACAGCTCGCCGCCGCTCACCCGCCGCGCGGGCCGCCTGGGGCAACGCCAAACTCGAAGACGCCCCCCAGTGCTGTTCCGCCTCACTCCGAGACAGGGGGGCCACCGAGCTGCCCGTGGCCGAATCCGCGTGTGAGTGCCGGGGCGACACGGCCACGCGGAACACACCCTTCTTCTGCGTCCCCCACCCCTGCTATTGCTGCCGCGCCTGCCCACCTGCTGACCAGTACTTAAGGGAGTGTTCTAGACCTGCAGAACCCGAAGACCACCTACGGAACTCCAGACCGCCTCGCAACCAAGACCAGAGTGGCAGGCGGCTGACCAGGGCCACCTGGGAAAGGGGGGTGAGCAAGAGCTGCCCTCCTGGCACGTACTCTGCGCAGTCCCGCAGCTGGAGAGCAGGTTTCTGGGCCTGTTCCCATAAATGAACTGGTCGCCCTCTAGTATTCCCCCCCTAGTTGTTCCTAACCCTCACCTCTCCTGCGTTTATTTGCCCTGTGTTCTGCAGTTTTATCCTCTGACTGGCTCACCAGGACTTCACCCAATGCCTCACTGATCTGCCCCAGTAACCAAAGGACACTGAACTCCTAAAGCCACTGAGGCAGTTACTAGATGTAATCCACAGCGAGCAGGATGGTATCCAGAAAGGTACCTAGAAGCCTCCACTCATTTCATGTCACAGCTCCAGCAGAAGGGCTGGGAAGATGACCCTACATCTAGTCCAGTGAGAGTGTGCAAAGCCACATGTCAAAGGAGCGACTGAGATTTGTCCTTGGCTGACTGTGTAAGCTAGTTCCACTTCCGGCACTTGGGGGCCCTTGAACCAGCTTGCCAGATCTGGGGCCTTCTCTGACCACACTGGCCCCTGGGCGTCCCTAGTGGACAGTGCCCCGCACTGCAGGCTCTCCCCCTTCCCTTGATGTTGTCCAAAGGGTAGGCAGTGGGGAGTGGGGGAGGAGGAAGAGGAGGAGGAGAAAGAAGCAGCAACAACTCAGTTTGCCATTGTAAGGAGTGACTCTTTCCTTAGGAATGGTGGTCTCCTCCCCCAGCCAGGCCTTGGACTTCAGCCCCCAGTCAAAGGTCTTTCTAGAAGACTTTCCATCCTTGGGGTTGCAGAGGAAGCCTAGCTGGCCTTTCCTTCTGGGACAGCCAAAGACAGGGAGGGCCCGTGGCCTGCTCTTTAACTCCTTTTGACTTCAAGCATTCCTTAGTTCTGAGAGGAGGGAGAAAGGTTGGCCCTACAGAGACTGCAGCCACTGCAGCCTTGCAGCCGGGACTCCTTCATGTCTCTCAAATGGGGTCAACCCCTGACCTGCTGCTGTGCTTTGACTAGACAGTGAGGCATATGAGGGTGACTGCCTCCTAGGAACTCGTAGGACCTCTGGGTACAAACCCAGGTGCCCTTGTAAAGAGACCTGCTGTTCGCCTTGGGTCCAGAAAACACTGCTTCTGCAGTGAAAAACACACGGTTAGTCTGTCAGCTCTGGCCACAAAATGCCAGCCAAACTGGCAAGCCTGAAGTGCCCCCAGACACTGGACTTTCTGCGCAGTGCCTGGCAGCTGGGCAAGTGCAGCCAAAATGTCTGTGGCCGGAGGGAGGGAAACAGGCCAGCCTCTGTTCCTGATTGGAGCGTGACAGATAACCTCAGCCCAGCCTTAGGATTGGGTCCTGGCGGCAAGAGGAAGGAGCTGGAGGAAGAGGAGTCGCAGAGAAACCCAGTCCTCCGACTGGTTTCTGGTGAGGTCTCTATCCATCGTTGGGAGGTAAGATGCCCTTTTTTGTTGATCACTTTAGTTTCTCAACCCCGGGGATCAGTGGCGTTGGGTTCCTATAACCTGTTGCTACCTTTTAAAAATGTCCATCCCTCTTCAAAGAGAACAGTAATGCATAAACATTACAGAAAATTGGGAAACTAGAGAAAACTTTAAGGACAACAACAACAACAAAACTCAAATGTTCAGAGTCCCACCACATGATGCACGCACTATGAACACATTGCTGCCTTTCTTTCTAGCGTGTTCTTGCCGTGTCTTCTCAAAGCTGAGATCATCCTGCTTTGCTCTGGATCAGCAGGATTTAAAATGGCTGCCACCTGCGCAGTCATGCATGCTGAATCATTTATCTAAGCATTCTCCTAATTTGTTGGCCATTTCAGTTGTCTGGTTTCCCCCATCCCGCGAGGGCAGGAGTAAATAACCTTGTAAAGAAACTTTTGTCTGTTTTCCAGCTTATTTCCTCAGGAGAGCATTCCAGAAGAGGAACTGCTATTCTTCGAGGCTGTGGACCCTGTTTGCTGATGGCCGACACGCTGTCCCTGTGGAGGACTGTGAAGGACAGGTGCCTTGCACCCCTACTTCCAGGGAACCCTCAGCACAGGCCCTGCCTGTTCCCATGGTGCTTCTCCGAGGCCCTGAACCCTCAGAGCCTCAGCCACGGACAGAGTGGATGAGCAGGGAGCTGGTTTCCAGCCCTCTGGGGTCAGGATGGGCTTGGGCTTCCCTTTGACCCCCTTCCCCCTTTTCCCAAATCTTCAATATTTGTTGTGATGTAACAGCCACAAGAGCTGTAAGAGGAACTATGGGCTTTGGGCGTTTTCTTGGGTTGAAAGGGGTGGGGGGAGGGGGTGCATGCGGGGCATGAAGGCAGCCCAAGGACGCCCAGAGACTCGAGGACTCATTTGAGATGAATGTGTTGCTGTTGCATTACTGCGCCGTGGTAATAAGAAATTGCTCTGTATGCTAAAGCTTTCTCTCCTCAATAAAAATACAAAGGGTGTGTGAAGATCGGGTCTCTCTGGGTTATTGAACAAGTGCAGACAGGTACCCAATAGGTATCAGGTACTTCCAAGGCCCCCTGCCTGAAGCCACCCTAGCCTGAAGTCTTGAAATCCTCAGAGGAGGAAACTAAGGGCCAGTGAGGCTCAAGGGACCTGCGTATGTTTGGGATGGCAGAAATTGTTAGGAGGGAAGTAGAAGCG